GATGTCCTGAAGCGATACGCTCTCCTACCCCACAAGAGCGGAAGCTGCTAAATTTGGCGCACAGCAGATTTCCGCTCGAGAGAAGTTCCTGCTCAGCTGACCGGCCTGCTGGACCCAGCTGACCGGTCGGAACTCAGCTGATTGGTCCGAATTCAGGCATCGTCACACAGAGGGGCGTAGCAGGACATGCCCACGGATCTAACGAATTGCGAACATAACTGATATCAGTGCGGGTACGTTTTCATAAGCTGCGTAGAGTCCACCACACGAGTCCTTGAATGTGAATTTGAACATTCATATTGAGGCAGCTAAATATAAATATTTAGTTCATTTGTTCTGAAGTCGGTATTTTTTTAGGTTAAAGTCTACTTGTTTATTTATTTATTTTTTAAGGATTTGATATATAAGCAAGTTTTGTTGCGTACTGTGTGCGTAAGAGACACAGACTTACAGACAGACATACTATCAACAATAACACCCTGTATTCTAAACTCAAAGCAAATAAGAGCAACAGCTATAATAAATATGGTAAATATACTGCCGTGTCCTGCACATCAACTTTGGCCTTTTAATGTACGAATTTAGATGCCTTTCGTATTTCCCAATGCTACGGCATTTTATGTATATATATATATATATATATATATATATATATATATATATATATATATATATATATATATATATATATATATACATATATATACATATAATAGATAGATAGATAGATATAGATATATATAGATATAGATATAGATAGATATACATATAAACATTTTCATCATTAATTGATAATTTCTTAGACTAAAGCAATAATATTTAAGTTTTCATTATTCTATTTCAAAACCAAGTGGAAAAGTACTCTTAGACCGTCAAGAAGGCATTCGCTAGGTAACCGAAAGATAAGCATATTTGTTGATAAATATCCGTCCTTATCATGGTGTGAATTTCTGTGTCAAGTGACCACCTTTTTCTTTTTTTCTTTTTTTTACGTCTTCCATTCTTTGTTCTTCTTATGAAAAAAACACGTGTTTGCACATTTTTTGTTTATTTCCAATTCCTAATTTTCGTTCCGAATGAAATTATAGGTCTGTTATTAGCAGTTTCCGTTATCAAAGAGAGAGAGAGAGAGAGAGAGAGAGAGAGGGAGAGAGAGAGAGAGAGAGAGAGAGAGAGAGAGAGAGAGAGAGAGAGAGAGAGAGAGAGAGAGAGAGAGAGAGAGAGAGAGAGAGAGAGAGAGAGAGAGAGAGAGAGAGTGAGTGAGTGAGTGAGTGAGAGAGAGAGAAAGAGAGAGAGAGAAAGCGAGAGGGAGAGAGAGCGAAAGACAGAGAGAGCAACAGAAGGAGGGGAGAGGGAGGGAGGGAAAGATATACAGTTGGAGATGGAGAGGGTGAAGGTGAAGGAGAAGGAGAAAAAGAAGGAGAGGGAGAGGGGGAGGGGAGAGGGGAGAGGGAGAGGGAGAGGGAGAGGGAGAGGGAGGGGAGGGAGAGAGAGAGAGAGAGAGAGAGAGAGAGAGAGAGAGAGAGAGAGAGAGAGAGAGAGAGAGAGAGAGAGAGAGAGAGAGAGAGAGAGAGAGAGAGCGCAGATAGATAAAGGGAATTTCTCAGAGTTGAACCGGAGTGAACAATGAATACTATCAAAACAAACAGTTGAGATTGGCACATATGCACCGTACATGTGACTCTATTGCGTTTTTGCAGGATGCATTGCACCATTATGACAGCGTGAATGATAACGGATATCACATGACTCGTTACGTACGCGCCGCTATTATTATTAGTGACCGATAAGATACTGATCTTTGAAATGGTTCAGTTAACGAAGTTTTTATTTACTTTATTTACTATTTTTTCCTTCTTATTAATACCTATTAATACCTGTTCCTTATTGTTGTTGTTTTCATTTGTTTATTGTTATTATATTCAATATTGGTGATATATGTACGCATATTATACTACTGTTATTATATGGTAAGCTTACCATATTTGTTAGAATCATATATATCATTAGTGCCTTCATTTACTATCATTAAACTTTACATCTGTGTTATCATTATCATGACCATAATCCGTATTTTCTTCTTTTATCATCATCATCACCGTCATCGTCATTAGCACAAGCGAAATAAAGAAGTAAGTAATGTTTATAATTTTAGATTTCCTCCAATTGACTGACAAGCTTCCCGCCGTCACACCTTCCGACATCATCACATCATCACCTGATAGACGTAAGCAGACGATTTCCGATTCCAATGCACTATCACGTGGTTTACTAGGCCGAACGCCATGTAAACATTAGAGGTTCCAATTACCATTATTCTCATATTATGCCGTATCAACAATGCTCTGTTATTTAAGCTCAAGATAAGAAATTGTAGTCTTTATGTTAGATAAATTTGGTAACTTATACCTGATTATATAGTTACCAGATTAATCGAGGCGTGTTAATAAATTATATATAAAAGGCACATGCTAACCGAGCCACAAGAGACGCACTCAGC